AGTTACATAGTACAGGTAACCATGTTCAAGTAACATAGTACAGATAACCATGCACAAGTAACATAGTACAGGTTACCATTTTCAAGTAACACATTACAGGTAATCATGTAGTAGTTATATAGTACAGGTTATCATGCACAACTAACATAGTACAGGTAACCATGCACAAATAACATAGTACAGGTAACTATGCACAAGTAACATAGTACAGGTACCATGGACAGGTAACATAGTACAGGCAAATATGTACAAGTAACATAGTACATGTAACCATGTACAAGTAACATAGAACAGGTAACAATGTACAAGTAACATAGTTCAGGTAACTATGAAACAGGTAATCATGTACAGGTAACAATGTACAAGTAACATAGTTCAGGTAACTATGAAACAGGTAATCATGTACAGGTAACCAGGTACAAGTAACATAGTACAGGCAACCATGCACAAGTAACATAGTACTCGTACCCTGTACAGGTTACATAGTACAAGTAACCATGTACAGCTAATCATGTACAGGTAATCATGTACAGGTATCTGTGAACAGCTAATCATGTACAAGAAGCATGTACAAGTAACATAGTACATGTAACCATGTACAAGTAACATAGTACAGGTAAACATGTACAGGTAACCATGTACAGATAATCTTGTACAGGTAATCATGTACAGGCATCTGTGAACAGCTAATCATGTACAAGAAGCATGTACAAGTAACATAGTACAGATAACCATGCACAAGTAACATAGTACAGTTAACCATGTACAGGTAACATAGTACAGGAAAATATGTACAAGTAACATAGTACAGGTTACCATGTTCAAGTAACACATTACGGGTAATCATGTAGTAGTCATATAGTACAGGTTATCATGCACAAGTAACATAGTACAGTTAACCATGTACAGGTAACATAGTACACGTACCATGTACAGGTAACATATTACAGGTACCATGTACAGGTAACAGAGTATAGGTAACATAGTACAGGAAACATAGTACAGGTACCATGTACAGGTAACACAGTACAGGTACCATGTACAGGAAACATAGTACAGGTACCATGTACAGGTAACAGAGTACAGGTAATCATGTACAGGTAACAGAGTACAGGTAATCATGTACAGGTAACCATGTACAAGTAACATAGTACAGGTAACCATGTACAAGTAGCATAGTACAGGTAACCATGTACAGGTAATCATGTACAGGTAACCATGTACAGGTAATCATGTACAGGTATCTGTGAACAGCTAATCATGTACAAGTAACCATGTACAAGTTACATAATACAGGTAATTATGTACAGGTAACCATGTACAAGTAACATAGTACAAGTAACCATGTACAGGTAACCATGTACAAGTAACAGTATAGGTACCCATGTACAGGTAACAGTATAGGTAGTCATGTACAGGTAACAGTATAGGTAGCCTTGTACAGCTTATCATGTACATGTAACAAAGTACAGGTAACCATGTACAGGTAACAGTATAGGTAGCCATGTACAGGTAACAGTATAGGTAGCCATGTACAGGTTACCATATTCTCAATGATGACAAGCATAGGTCTTAAATAAAACAGAAATATAGCATTACAATTATCATTTTATTACAAGATATATATTACAGACACAGTATGTATTACACAAAGTAGGAGTTGTCTACCCTGATCACAATGACAATATATGAATATAATGATACGGAGGAAAATCAAGGAATGACATGACTAAAACAGTAAAGGTGTCCGTAGTTCTTATCTAGAGTAGATAATATAAAATTTATCTAGCAATTATCTATAGTAGATAATACATTATAGGTGTACATAGTATTCATCTAGAGTAGATAATATAAAATTTATTTAGTAATTATCTATAGTAGATAATACATTATACATTTGTAGGTGTACATAATATTTATCTAGAGTAGATAATATAAAATTTATCTAGCAATTATCTATAGTATATGTACATAGTATTTATCTATAGTAGAAAGACCTTTCAGCAATCTGCCATCATGCTAAATATGAGACCTTAACTCTTCCTTATCCATATCTAAATTCACTTTTATCAATAAACCATACTTTTCTTTAATCTAGCTTTAAAATTATACAAGAGGCCCAATGGGCCTGCATCGCTCACCAGGTATTAATCTCACACTTGTAATCTAAAGATTTCATAAGAACCTATTAAAAGATTTAAACATATGACACCTGTGACCTTGATTGTCGAACAAGGACATTGGGTCGAAAGTGGATCAAGGTCATTCATTTGAACTAACTTGGTAGTCATTAATCCCAGCATGCTACAGGCCCAGTTTCAGTACCCTGGGCCTTTTGTTATTGAGAAGAAGTCCTTGAAGATTTTAAGAAATCTTACCCCAGTGACCTTCAAAGTTGGTCAAGGTCATTCATTTGAACAAACTTAGTAGCCCTTCATCCCAGCATGACTACAGGCCCAATATCAGTAACCTGGGCCTTTTGGTTATAAAGACATCTGACCCCAGTGACCTTGAAAGTGGGTCAACGCCATTCATTTGAACAAACTTGGTAGCCCTTCATCCCGGCATGTTACTGGCCTAATATCAGTACCCTGGGCCTTTTGGTTATTGAGAAGAAGTTGTTTGAAGATTTTAACATATTTGACCCCTGTGACCTTGAAAGTGGGTCAAGGTCATTTATTTGAACAAACTTGGTAGCCCTTGATCCCAGCATGCTACT